GCCATGGCACCTGGTGGTTTTCTAAGCCAGCCTCCCCCATTTCCTCTGCTCTTACAGAGGCACCCAGAGGTCCAGGTGTTGGTGCTTGCCCGCTCCACCAACTGGGCTTCAGGATCTCTTCCTGGGGTTCTGACAGCTTATCCGGTGCTGGGCTGGAATCAGCAAGGCTGGGGCTTTATGAAGAGTTTAGGTTGCTTTCTTCAGCTCCTTTCTGATGAATGCTGCAGTATGTTTATCTTCCTGGGGCCCCCTGCAGTACTGCTTCCCCTATTTTTGTTGTGGCACTGGGAGACCCCTTTGCTGGGCTGCCGTACAGCTGCTCCCCGTCTTTCTTCCAGTTCAGCTGTTCCAGGGTTTTTTTCTGGTGTGACATTTTCTGGGTTTTCAGAGGTTGATAGGGGAGCGTGAGAGCTACTACTTTTTCACTCCACCATCTTGGCTCCCGGAAACCAGTAGGTTCTTCCTCCTCTGTCTTTCAAGATTAATTTACACTTGGAGTGCTATACCAATCAAATTACCAAGGGGATACTTTAGAAAACTTGACAAAATAATAACAAAGTCCATTTGGAAAAATAAAAGATATAGAATATTAAGGGAAATATAGAAAAGAAGTAGAGATGAAGAGAGAATACCACTTGCAGATCTCAGACTATATTATAAAGCAGCAGTTATCAAAACCATCTGGTACTGGTTAAAGAATAGAGACACATCAATGGAACAGACTAGACAAGAGTCATTCAGAAACAATAGAACTCAATAAACATGTGCTTGATACAGTGGAAAACATCAGCTGCCTACGGAAAAATTCCCTAATTGATAAATACCATTCTTTGAAGGCCATTCTTTATCTCATTTTTCACCTAGCCTTAATCACTGAATCGGCTTTGCCTCAGTCAAACTGAGATCTGGGAAAGACCTTAGTGTAAAAAGGCCAATGTGTCCCACTCCATCCAGGGACTTCTCCTGTCATCTTGATCTATATCTTGCCACTGGACCCAGATGGATCTGGAGGAGAAAGTGAGGCTGGTGACTTTGCACAGCCCTCCCTCACTTAAATCCAATTCACTTGCAGTCAAGACATCACCTTCCTGATGTCATGGTCGTCTCCTAGAAGGAAGGACAAACAACAGCCACAACAGGACAGGATTCTTATTTGGGTACAGGTTGGACCTGTGGTCTCTGTGGTCCTTTCCAGTTCTGCACTTCTATGACCCTGACAGTTTTCACCCAACGAAGAGTAGGAGCTGCCAACATAAGTTCTTAAGCAAACAAATGATGTAGCTCTCAGAAACTCCCCTGGGTTGCTTGTTTTCCATTGACATCATGCCAAGAATTGGCCCCAGGGCAGTGAAAACATGTTTTAATAGCACTTCCGTGAGCTGGGACTGGATGCCCTTAAATTAATCCAGCTCAACCCACTTCCTGCAAGTTGGAATGCAGCTAGAACTACATGTGGTTGGAAAGAGAAAAGGGAACCTTCCAAGAGACTTCAAGTTCCATGGTATGGTAGGTGAATGGAAAAATGGACTTAGAATCAGGAAGACTTGAGTTCAAATCCTGACTCAGACACTTGGTTGGCTGTTTTCTTTGTCCTTGAAGAGGACCAAAATGACATTAATATGTTGGAGTCAAGGTACAGAGTGTCTGCCTATGGTTGAGCAGACCAATATGAGCTCAGAAGACTCTACCACAGGTCAGACACAAATAGTCTATATGGACATTTGAATTAGAGATGTCTCTAAAATTTGTGCATTCCTATTTTCTTTTCAGCTACTACAATTCTGCTTCCCTCATAGATCACAGTGTCTTCCTTTATGTGGGCACACCATGCTGGGCAGTACTTTGCCAGTGTCTTTCATGTCTCACAATCAATCCCACAGTTCTTCAGAGAGACCTGGAGAGTGTCCTTGTATCATTTTTTCTGACCTCCATGTGAGCACCTGTCAGGCATGAGTCTTCTGTAAAACAGTTTTCTAGGCAAACAAACATTTAGCATTCAAACAACTTAGCCAGCTAGCTGTATGACTCTGGGGATGTCACTTAACCTCTGTCTACCTCAGTTTCTCCATTTCTGAAATGGGGACAATAATAGCAGCTCCTTCCCAGGTTAGCATGACGATCAAATGAGATAATAGTTGTAAAGCACATAGTGTAGTGGTCGGCACATAGTAGGCGCAATATACAATTTAGCTATTATCATTATTAACTATAGTTAATAAATATCCAGCCAAACAGGATAAAAAACAGAAAGCCTTCTTCACAGATAAGTATTGCTATTGTTTCTACTTTCCCAGCAAATAACAATAGTTTTGTGATGATGGTGTTGCTTAAGTCTGAAGAGAGTGAAGCTTGATTCAGATGACATATTCCAGAGTGAAGGGCTTGGAGCCTAAAGACCTGAGAGGGAGCCCCTGCATAACTTCTTCTTAGCTGGGGGACTTGGGGTGAATCCCTTGAGTTCTTTGTGATACAATGAGTGCATTGGAGCAGATATTCTTCTTTTTTAAAAATTTTTATTTTTAAGGCAAATGGGTTAAGTGACTTGCCCAGGGTCACACAACTAGTTAGTGTTTGAGGCTGGATTTGAACTCAGGTCTTTCTGACTCCAGTGAAGGTGCTTATCCACCATACCACCCACCTGCCCCTCGATCAGATATTCTTTAAGCTCTTGTCCAGCTTGGATACTCCCCGGTGCTCACAATAACTCTGGGAATTGATGGTGTCATTTTTATTATTCCCAATGAGTTCATAAGGAAAAAGACATTCCAACATGCCATAGCTGGTGGGTGACATGTCAAGTATTTCCAAAGGTCACACCAAGCACCAGGCACTCAAGCACTGGGGATGCAAAGAGAGGTAAAAAACTGTCCTCAGGGAGCTCACAATCTAATGAAGAGAGACAAGCTGCAAACACCTATGGATATATCATATACACATCATATGCACAGGGCAAACCGGGGGATGATCAACAGTAAGAAGGCACCAGCATTAAGGGGCACTTCGCAAAGGATTCTGACAAAAGTGAGATTTTAGCTGAGCCTTAAAGGAAGCCAGGAGGGCAGATGAGGAGCAAGAGGGTTCCAGTCATGGGGACAGCCAGAGACAGTGCCCAGAGCCCAGAGAAGATGAGGCCAGTGGAACTGGACCAAAGAGTACATGAGAGGGAGCAAAGTGCAGGAAAAAGTGGGGAGAAGCCAAATTCTGAAGGACTTTAAAAGCCAGACAAAGGGTTTAATATTTGGTCCTAGAAGTAAAGGGAACCATTAGAGAGTTCATCACATGAAGGGTGACTTGGTGAGATTTGAGTGAAGGATGAGCTGGAGTGGGAAGAAAACTGAGGCAAGAGAAGCTAGGCTGCAGGCTATTGTAAGGTACAGATGTGAGGTGACTCTGCCACCTAGCTACCCTTACACTCTATATCATCTGTATCCTGCCTTCATTGTGTGAACTCCATATCGACTATGTCTCATTTTCTTAATCAGAAGCTTCTTAGTGACAAAAAGGTTTTAAGAGCTAAGTATTTGATTTTTCTTGACGAAGGGAACGTTTTGGTACCATACATCCCTTTATCCCAGGGATGTGCTAGAGCCAACTTGTACCAGAGCTGGTTGTTAAATTTTCAGCATGAGCATTCACACCTCAAAATTGGCATCCACTACAAATTAGGGTTTGGGTCATTGTTTTCTTGATTTTTAAACTTAACAAAGTGTGGAGATAATGTGAACAATATAACTTAAAAGGAAGTCTTGTGAGTTTTTGGGTCAGCTGATTTTTATACATTGATCAGAATGCTTCTGCCTGCATCCCAATAGTAAAATATTTTGTCACTGTGAAATATCTTGTTAGCGTAACCACTCAGAGTAGAGGAAGGATTTCCTTTGCTTTTTTTTTCAATGTAAAAGGAACCCTGTAGAAGAACCATGGTGAGTTTTGGCTCAGAGATACTATTGTCCCTGTGCGGCTCCGTTGCAAGTAAAGGACTTGCAGCATTATCATGAAATTTTGTTTTCGGGACCCTCAGTGTACGACATTATCTCCTCACAGAAATGTTGTCAGGAAAACCTTAGGCAATGGGTGAAGTAGGACATAGACATCCAAGAGCTCTGTGTCAGCAGACCTGGCTGCTTAGTGCCTGTGTCACCTTGGACAAGTCCTTTCCCTTCTCTGGGCCTCTGTGTTCATTCTTGTTCAAAGATTTCTAATATCCATTCTAGCTCTAATCAATTATTCAATCAATAATCAAGCATTAATTATTTCCCTACCAAGTGCCCTAGAGATACAATGCCAGAGAATGAAACCATCTCCATTATAATTCTATGAAATGAACTAGGGATTTTTTCCTCTAGAGACAGGGTGGACTGGCTATTCTCATCAGATTCCCACTGTCTCAGAATTGGAAGGTCCCTTTCAAATCAATTGATGTTGCTGAAAATGTTTCCATTGCACAGTGCCCAGCATGGAGTAGGCACGCTATAAAAGATTTTTTCCTTATAACTATCATTTAAATTCTCCTGGTCATACACAAGCCAGTGAAAAAGGTCTGCACCATTTGGATCCCTGGAGAAAAACCAAAGATTTAGAACTGAAAGGAGCCACTCCATTGGCAAGTGTAGCAAGCCACCATCAGCTCAGCCTAGAACCAAGGAAGGGGCCCCATGGAGGGTGTAGGCTCATAGTGGTAGCACCCACAGAGAGCTTGTTCACCCATCCTTTAAGCAGTTTGGTCTTCACTTTTCATGTTGGTCCTTTCTAAAGCACTTGAGGTAGAAGGTCCAAAGAGTAAAAGGATTCACATAGGGAATAACAAGGCAAGTCAGGATTTGAACTCACATCATTGAACTCCATTTCACTGGGGCTGCCAGGTGGTGTAGTAGATAAACTTGGGCCTTGAGTCAGGAAGACCTGAGTTCAAATCTAGCCTCAGATGCTTACTAGCTGTGTGACCTTGGGCAAATCACTTAACCATGTGTCCCTCTGTTTCTTCATCTAGAGAAGGAAATGGGAAACCACTCCAATTTATTTGCCAAGAAAACTCCAGCTGGGGTCACAAGGAATCAAGCACAACAATATTGGACTTCAAATCCAGTATTGGATTCTTCCCACTACCACCTGTCCTAATGGTTCCCCATGGGGAAGAGAAGTCACTGAGACTTGAGAGTGATGGCGAGGGCCAAGAGAGTTGTTCATCTTTTTATATTCCTTTCAAGGTGTCCATGTGTACGGTGAGTCTGCCAAAGGAATGCCATCCCCCAGCCCTGGCCATGAACTTGGAGAAGGGCTAATATTGTTCACTAGACCTTACCTCTAAGTTGAATGAACTATTTTTTTTTTCTGAACAAATTTCAGTCAGGGGTGTTGCACCTCATGGAGGAGTGTGAAATGAAGAAATGTGGGCCAGGCAGGTCAGTGACAGACTGAGATGTTTATTATTCTGAAAATCCAGTTTAAATAGTGAAAGGTAACAATCACCCCTGAGGCATTGCCAGGATTCTCATGTGACTAACCCCAGCCCTTATGCTCAACTTTAATTGTATACACCTGCTTATTAGCAAGATTCAAGGATTGGTCAGAGTGTTCTAACACCACCCAGGCACAGGAAATTGGTGAGCCAAATATTCTGAGTAAATAAGCCCTTAAGGGTCGGAAAAGGAAAGAGAACTCTGACCTAAATTCATTATCCCATATTAGACTCTTCAGATCTGGCCCTCAACAATTCCCTCCTTTTGTTTTTGCAATTGACTTGAGATGATGAACATCTGTACCTGAAAACTTGAACCATGATTTACCCATTGCCGTAGATAATATAACAGGCAATATTGCCCATGTAAACAGATGAAACAGTAAAGCAGGTACATTTTCAAATATATGGGTTTTGCCCAATTTTCCAAAATTTCTCGAGCTAGGTTCTGGGGTTGAGTCCCTTGGAAATGGATTTTTAGCAAAAGACAAATCAGAATCAAAGATCTCCAATAAATTCAACACTATGCCAATGACACATTCCAAGCCAATGTTTTGGTATATGGAAAATGACTGTTAGCAATATCATGAGTAATGTCAAATCAGAAGCAAAAGCACCTTCCAAATGATTTTCCATCCAACAACACCAGAATTACATGGATCTAAATTCATCTCCAATAGATTCAATAGACATAGATATATTCCATACCACCCCCATAGGAGATGCTAGTGCATAATAGGTAACATTTTCCCTGTTAACACAATGTATCCTGTAACATCTACCATTCCTTTAATCCCTGCAAGATAGTAAGCAATGCAAACATAACTCTCCTTTTCCAAAAATTCTGCTGCTTGTCCTATAGGCACAATGCCAGTCCCTTTATCTTCCCAAGTAAGTAATCTAGACCACGGAGGATTATTAACATATGTCCAAAGCTGCACAGTCTTTTGCCTCCAGAGAGGTCAACTGCAGCAGCAGCATCATTTGTAATAATGTCTTTGTTGTCCTCCTCCGTTGTCTCGGGTGCTCCCTTCTAGTTCTTTTATCTCTGCGCTTGTTCTGCAATCCGAGTGTCTGAAGTTTCTGGGTCACTTCGAGCACAGGTCCGGATGTTCCGTTTGGGGACCCATATTGGTCCTTCTGAGCCATCTGGAAACACAGAAGCATACCCTCGCCCTCAATTCAGCAATTTATCTGGCCCAAACCAATGATTGGTTTTTGGGTCCTTCCACATGACTCTTTTTTGAGTCTTTTGTTTCTCATCATCATCTTTCCCATAAACCCTAAAGTGTTTTTCAGCTGGGGTGTATCCTTCTTTATCAGTGTAAGAAAATTTAGAGCATATACTGCTTGAGCCGATTGTCTTCGTGGCCTTCCCCTTGCTTCTCCCCCTTTTTGTTTTTGAAGAAGCATTTTCAGGGATCTATTTTTTTGTTCCATAATTGCTTGTCCCTTAGGGTTATAGGGGATTCCAGTGATGTGTTTTATTTGGAAAGTAAGACAAAAGATACGAAATGACTGTGAAGTATATGCTGGGCCATTATCAGTTTTAAGAATATTAGGTACTCTGGGGAGGGTGGGGGGGAGGAAGGGTGAGAAAAATTTTCAACTCAAAAGCATATGGAAGTGATTGTTGATAAATTAAAATAAATTAATAAAATTTTAAAAAAAAGAAATAAAGAACTCCTAATTATAAAAAAAAAAGCAATGAAGCTTGTGATCTATGACATTATTAACTGATTCTCCAGATTGTGCCTTGGCCATAGTGAAAGAAGAAAACGTGTCTACAGTCACATGAATGAATTGTACTTTTGCAAGACCATTGTAATGTTTGACACCCATTTTCCAAAGTTCACCTGGATGTTTTCCATGTGGGTTGATAGCAAACTTGTGTGGTGTAGGAGTGTAAGGCAGGCATTTACAAGAAATTTTTACTATTTGACGAGCTTGTTCTCTAGTAATTCCAAATTGTTTCCTTAGCGTTGTAGCAGATTGATGAAACATAGCATGTGATTCTTTGGCTTCTGTAATGTTTAACATTAGTAATGTGGGCTTTGTAAGCTCGTCTGCTATCTATTTCCTTGAAAAATAGGCCCTGGGAGATTCATATGTGAAGGTACATGAGTGCAATAAAGAGGCGAAGTTCACTCTCTAATGAGTTGTTGTAATATCATAAACAATTCAGACAGCATATTTGCTGTCTGAAAATATATTACAAGGGCCTGTGCATCTTTGTAATGCTAGAATTATGGCATATATCTCATTTTGTTGAGTGGATTCAAACAGTGCATGTGCTATATACCTTTCATGAGGAGGGATAAAATAAGTGGCTATATGATTGGATGAAGCATCAGTGAAAACTGACAGTGCTCCCACTAATGGGTCCTTTTTGACTATTGTATTAATAATCCATTGGTGCCTTCTAGTAAATTGTAAAATAGGGTACTTGTACACATTATCAATGTCTCCTTGAAAGATAGCAACTAATATTTGCCATGAATGTTCTTGGCTTATTAAATCTTTTATTTGCTTTCTATCATAAGGCTGATGTATAGAACATGGAAGGCAGCCTACTAACTGGAGTACTCTTTTACATGCCTTTTTAGCCAGTTCTGCTATCATAGATGGATATGTTTGGAGGGTATATTTTGGCTGTGCTGATAAGAACACCCATTCTAATAACTTATCTTGTCGATGAATACACCCAAAGGGCACTTATGGAGTATCTAATATAGTAACCTGTATAGGTAACTTATATTCTATTCTACAGGACATAGCAGCTTGTAATGAGTCCTCTATTTTTTTCAACTGAAGTTTAGCCTGCTGTGTCAGTATACATACTGAAGTAGGACTCGGATCACCCCTAAGGATGTCACAGAAATCCTTTTAATTCATGAGTCCCTATTTTTAAATAAGGCCTAATCCAATTAATGTCACCTAAAAGCTGTTGAAAAGCATTTAGTGTAAGGAGTTGATCTTTTCTTAAATCTATCCTTTGAGGTCGAATTTCTTTTTCTCCCACTATGTGACCTAGATAGGAGTATGGAGGCGCCTTTTGAATTTTTTCTGGTGCTGCTTCTAACCCTTGATATTGTAAAGCCTTAAACATGTCATCCATCAGGAATGACAGTTTCTCCTTCTGGGGATGAGCACAAAGGATATCATCCATATAATGTATTGTATATGCCATTGAATATTTTTTTTTCTAATAGGATCTATAGTTTCTGCCACGTATTGTTGACACATAGTGGTGATATTTTTCATCCCTTGGGGAAGAACCTTGCATTGATATCTCTTAGAAGGTTGTTTTAAATTTTCTGAAGGGAGTGAAAATGCAAAGTATTTGCAATCATCATGCCTAAGGGGTATGGTATAAAAACAGTCTTTCAAGTCTATTACCCATAAGGGACATTCGGCAGGGCATTCGGCAGGAATTGCAATTGGGAAGGCAATCCTGGTTGTAATACTCCCATAGTTTCCATCTGTGTATTAATCTGTCTAAGATCTGTCAGCATTCTCCATTTTCCTGACTTCTTTTTCATGATAAATATTGGGGAGTTCCATGGACTTGTGGAGGGTTCTATGTGTCCTGCAGCTAATTGTTCCTCTGCTGTCTGTTGAAGAGACCTGATTTTTTCTAGATTAAGGGGCCACTGTTCCACCCATATGGGAGGCCCTTTTTTCCAAGTTATTTTGGGAACTTGTACTGTTCTTTTATCTTTGGCTGTGACCCCTACAAAAACTTTTTGCTACTTATAGTGACATTCATATGTTTCAGTAAATCTCTTCCCCAAAAGCTCCAAGGAATGTGTGGTAACACATATGGTCGAAATTTTACTTTCTGTTCTTCTGCTTTCCAAGTGGGCCATGACACACTCTGGGCTGGAGCAGCTATTTCTCCTGTGCCTGGCAATACTACATTCTCTTGATCTAATGGTCATTCCCTGGACCAGACCCATAAGCCAATGACTGATTTGTCAGCCCCTGTGTCTATTAGCCCTTCAAACTCCTTTCCTTGTACTTCTATCTTTAATGTGGGTCTGGCATCTGTGAGAGTTCTTTGCCAAAACATCCCTGTGCTCCCAAAGCCTTCTGTTCCTCTTACTCTTTTAGCCATTCCCCTTAATTTTTTATATTCCATGATAATCATTTGAGCTATCCTTTCCCCTTTTTTAATAGAAATGTGGCAGCAAGGGAACGCATGCAACATAACATTGATTTCCCCAACATAATCAGAATCTATTACTCCAGGGATAACCATGAGACCACGGAGTGACTATGAACTTCCACCTAGTATAAGTCCCACAGTCCCGGGAGGGAGTGGACCATATACACTGGTGGAAATGCAAACTACATCATTACTAATTTCTGTAGAGATATGACAACTTAAATCCAATCCAGCGCTACCTGAGGTAGCACATATAAGATCAAGCACAGTGGTTATTGTGGAGTCAGAGCTGGCCTGGGTTGTATAAGAGATATCTCAGCCCCTATTGTTTGTTGGGGCTGGAGCAGGCCCCGCTGGGGGTTTAAAGGTTGCCCACCAATATCAGTAAAAGATCCTCATTGAGAAGCCCAGTGATTACCATGGCGACACTTGGGACAGGGCATATTGGGAAAATTTTGTGGTATCCTTTTGGAAGTCTTACACTCTCTTTTTATATGACCTGGTTCCCACAATTAAAACATTTTAATATTTGTTGAATTTTTGAATTATTCTTAAATGCTGCTGCTGTCATTTGTCCCTAAAAATGTGTGGTTCCTGCATCCTGACATCTCTGAATCATTTCTCCTGTAGTCATCTTAGGTTTACCTCCTTGTAAAGCTCTTTCACAATCCATATTAGCATTTTGTGTAGCTAGTTTATGTGGGAGTATCCGTGCTGCATTAGAGTCAGAAACACTCCTTTGTACAGCTTGTGTTAAATGAGCTAAAAAAGTCTGGAAAAGTCTCTTGAGGGCTTTGTTTCATTTGAATAAAAGAAGCTCCTCTATTTTGTTTCCCTGGCATTTTCAACCATGCTGCTCGAGCTGCTTTCATAATCTGCTCATATGTCACAGGAGGAATTTACAACTGTTCCTGCAATTCAGTGTATCTCCCTGTTCCTGTTAATTGTTTGAAAGAAATAGGAGCCCCTGTCCTGTTGTTATATTTTACTTATTCTTGGTATTGCTCAAAGTATTCTGACTTCCATAAGAAATAATCTCCAAGGATCAAGGCATGTTTTCACTATAGAATACCAGTCATATGGGGCTAATGCTGTATTGGATACTGAGTCCAACAATGTTTGTACATAGGGATTATTAGGTCTGTAATTAACTGAAGCCTGTTTTAGTTCCTTTAACAATTTAAATTCAAGCTGTCTATAAACTCTAATGTTTGTACATGGGTTATTTACATCTCCCTCCTCATATACTGGAAATAGCATGGTTTTTGGCACAGCTAATTTTAATTCCACTTGTACTTCCTCCCCTTTTTCCTCTGCTTTTATGATTGCTTCTTCTAACAACCCTTTACAACGTATTTTATGGCTTTTTTGATATTTGTTTGCTTCCTCATTATCTTCTCTACATGAGCCTAATCTATATGAGGGTGGGGGTCTTAATGGCGGGGAAGGTGTGATAGGTCTTGCATATATAATGTCTTGAGGCCCTTAAGTACACAAGGTCAGTGTTGAAATTCATAAAAGTAGACTGGAGAGTTGGGACCTAGGAAAACATAAGAAATGCCCACGGTTATTGACACATTAAACGCAGGGCAGGGCCACATGCCAGGGGCCCCTGGTATGATTTCCTCCTTTGGGGGGGGGGGGCAATGGTAGGTGGCCATTAACAGGCAAGCTCCTAGAGGGCAGCCCCTTAACAAATACCATGCTGTGAGGCAGGACAAGTGCTGGGGTCTGGTGTAACAGGATCTGGGTTGGAATCCTGGCCCTGCTGCTTACCAACTATATGACCTTGGGGGTATCCTTTTATTACTCTGAGGGTGATTTTTCAACTGTAGAGATAGTAGTCCCTGGAGTGTCCACCGTATGGGAAGAGGAGGGGGAGGCAATAAGCATTTGTCGTTCAGTTACCTGTCAGTTATATTTTGATTTCTGTGATCTCATTTGGGGTTTTCTTGGCAAAGATGCTGTAGAGGAAATTGAGGCAAGAGGGTGAAATGACTTGTTCAAGGGCACACAGCTAGTAAGTGTCTGAGGACCAGATTTGAACTCAAGAAGAGGAGTCTTCCTGACTCCAGGGCCAGAACTCCATCCACTGTGCCACCTAGCTGCCCTATGAATATGCATTTATAGAGCACTTCGTGCTAAGTGATTTACAAATATTACCTCATTGGAGCCTTGTACCAACCCTGTGATGGCGGTGCTATTATCATTTCCATTTTATAGTTGAGGAAACTGAGGCAAACAGAGGTTCAATGACTTGCTAAGGACACACAGCTAGAAGGTGTCTGAATCTGGATTTGAACTCAGGTCTTCCTGACTCCAGGTCTGATGTTCTATCCATTGGGATGAGGTTGTTGTAAGGATCCAGGAGAATAATGGATGTAAAGTGTTTTATAACAATAAAACACTCCAGTAGGAGTTCTGGATTTTTTTTTAATTTGAGCGCTGTGATAACTTGATTTCAATAATTGGTTTTGTGTCTATGTATTTTATTGTATACACTTGAAAACATTACTTTGGAAGGAATCTATAACTTTCCTGGCCAGAGGGGTCCATGATGCATACCCACAAACATGTTGGGAACACCTGCTTATAGAAATATGGGTGGTTACTATTAATTATTGTTATTTATAGAGAATGGTCACTGAGTTCACACCGGCTACACTTAGGTGGGTATGTGAGAAGAAAGAAGGTGAACAAGGGCTTTTAACCACTCGGGAGGCTCTGATAGCAAAGCCAGAAGCAGGAGCCTCCTTCTGCATGAGGGCGTGGGTGACATACACACACTGCCACAGAGTCGAGCCATTCTTACACTGATTCTAGAAAGGGTCAATGCCGTACTCACCATATTGATATTTGGCCAGTTTGAGGGCAGGAATAACAAAGATTAAATCCCCCATCATTTCCTGCAATTGATCCCGATCTTCTGCCAGGTCCTCAGTATCTCTTAAATATTCTTCTATTATCAGATGCCCAAGCTCAGGAGGAAGATCCTATAGGAGACCCAGGAAGAGACAGAGAAACAGAAAAATGAAGACAGCTGGCAGTGGGTTGTTTGGGGATGTTTGTTGGTGGATTGCAAGCAATAAGGAAAGGAGCTAGGTGACACAGTGGATAAATTCTGTCCCTAGAGTCAGCAATACCTGCATTCCAATCTGACGTCTGACATGTATTAGCTATGTGACCCTGGGCAAGTCATTGAATCTTGCTTGTCTCAGATCTCTGTAAAATGAGCTGGAGAAGGAAATGGCAAACCATTCTAGTATCTTTGCCAAGAAAGCCCCCCAGAAAGGGCCACGAAGAGTCAGACACGACTAATCAACTGAACAACCACAAGCAATAAGCTCACCCATTACACTGACTATTTCAATGGCCTCTTCATTGGTGCCTTGGATCTCTCCTCACTCCAGTCTATCCTCCACTCATCTTCCAAAGGGATTTTCCAAGCACAGATCTGACCATTGTACTCCCCTCCCCCAACTAAGTAAATTCTCCTGGATGCCAATGACCTCTAGGATTAAATATGAACTCTTCCGTTTGGTATATAGAGTTTTTAACAACCTGACCCCATCCAGTCTATAATGTATCCATTACACACACACACACACACTACATTACATAAAATACATAATATATAATATATAATATAATATAAACAATATATATTATGTATATATGAAATATAATAATGTATACACAATTACCCTCCTCACACTCTATGGTCCAGGTATGGCAACCTTCTTGCTCCTCACTCTTCCCATTCCATCTCTCACCTCCATGCCTTTGCATTGGCAAGACTCAGCTCAAACAGCACCTTCTATGGAACATTTTTCTTGGTTCCTGACTCCTCCAGCTTGTAGTGCCTTAGCCCTCCCCCAAGATTTGTTCTCTGAATGTTTTCCATCTATCTCTGGATGTGCAGGTTGTTTCTCTTGTAGAATGCAGGTTCCTTGAGGGCAGGGAGTATTTCACTTTGTCCCTGTACCTAGCCCAGTACCTGCTATGTAGTAGGTGCTTATAACAAAAAAAAAGCTTGATTAACTGTTATCTCACCGAAAATGCGCTTAGCACTAATGATTGGATTCTTTATCTATTTTTCCCTTAAATCCAGGAATGTCCATTTCCTGTGTAGAGAAAAATGGTGCACTGTGAATGGTCTTTAGAACATTTTGAAATTTATGAATTTTTTAAACAAAACTAATCCAAAGAAGTTATTTTACCTTTTAAGGAGGAACTATGCTATAGAATATATTTAGGAATTGCTAAATAATGCCCAATATGCACTGAACAATTCTCAAGATATTTTGTAAAATGGCTAGCAAAATGGTGGGTAATACACAGCACATATTAAACGGTGGTCATGGATTTTCCATAATGACTAGTGGCCTTAGACTGATGCTTACTGTAATACGTTGTGCTAGAAATAATGGAGACAAAATCATATTTTTCTGATTAACATAAGTAGGCTGACTACATGCATATGCTTAAGGAGGCAGCTGACAAATGGTTGTTAATATCATGTCATTTAAAGTTCATATAGCCCCAATGGCCTTTAGATATGATGACCTGAAGTCCATAGGAAAGAGACCTGGGCTTCCACGAGGAGGCCCAGGTTCTAGTCCCAGTAGTGTGACTAGAGTTATAGCATGTCATTTCTGGGAGCCTCAGGTCTCTATTTTACAAGCTGGGGATAAACAACTTAATGATCCCTACCTCACAGTCCCCATGAGAGAAGATTTTGTAAATTATAAAGTGCTATGTAATATAAACTAGTATTATTCACTTTTCATTTAAAATAAAGAGACTTGAGGCGTCTAGGTGATAGATAGTGCACAGGACTTAGAGTCAGGAAGACCTAAGTTCAAATCAGGCCTCAGACACTTAGGAGGTGTGACCCTGGGCAAATCACTTAATCCCAGTTGCCTACAAAAATTTTTAAAAATTAAAAAAGAAAACAAAATAAAGAGGCTTGTAGAGTATATTTTAAACAAAGGGGAACTAGACCTAGCTTGGGCTTCTCTCCTAAACTTCTGAGCATATTCATACACTAAATGAATCATCCATAGAGAAAATAACCAAAGGTAGAATCATTTCTGATTCTTCCAGAGAAACTTGTTCCGGGTAACTTTTCTGATTTTAGAAAAGGCAGATTTACAGATGACGCAAAGTCAAGAAGGCCAGCTAATATATTGGAATATGGAGTCAGGATCCAAAAAAAGACCTTGACAGGCTAGAATGTTGGATTGACCGAAGTCCCTAAGATCAAAGTTAATGGGGACAAAGTCTTACAATCTCAGGATGAGGGAGGTATGGTCAGGTGGCAAATTATTTGAAAAGATCTAGGGATCATGGTGAACCACAAACCCATAAGGAGGCAACAGGGTCATATGGCAACCCAAAAAGCAATGGGATGCTGAGCAGCGTTAAGAGAGACATGGGGAGGTGAGAGGCCCTTTGTGCTCTGCCTCTGGGGAGGCTACAGTTATCCCTTTCGCATCATGACTTTCCTCATTGTGATTTCAATATATTGTGGGTAGGCTTTAGAAATTAAATGGAAATTTGTTTGGGAGTTTTGTGGAATTTGTAGATGACAAATGAAGGCCAGCAGATGATATAGAAAAAGTTTAGAAACTCATAAATTTATAAAAAAAAATATGATATTGTAATAATGTCAAAATATTTTGTATTTTAATACTATAAAAATTTAATCTATTCCTTGGATATGAAAAGCAGGCCAAAAGATTTTACATGAATATTCCAGATGGTGGGGTGCTGTACCCCCAATCCCAGTGATATGGGAGGGATAATTGTATATCTGGAATCTGTTGTTCAGTTCGGAGCATCATATTTGAGTCCAAATATAGAGAAGCTGAGAAGGGGGTCAGGGTCTTGCCATGGAAATGGGTTGAAGGAATACGTTTTTCTGCCCAAAGAAAAAACATAGGGAAGAAGCAGACATGACAGTTATCTTTAACTATCTGGCAGATGGTCACCTGGAAGAGGCAATTAATTGGTGTAATTTACCCTAAGGGCAGACCTGGAAACAACAGGTAGAAGTTGAAAAAGAAGTAAATTTCCACTTGATGTCATGGTGCCCTGTCCAAGTGTGAGAGCTGCCTAGAAGTGGAAAGACCATCTCAGGAGGGAGAAGGTTTTCCCTCCTTGGAGGTCTTCGAACAGAGGGTGGATGGCCATTTTGTCCAACAAGTTATAGAAGGAATTCTCCTTTAACTCTGGCTTATATTCCATGGCCACCAAGCTCTTGACCTATTCAAAAAGTCTATGATTCTTTAGAGAAGTATAAACTGTTGAGATCAGAAAGAAGCTGGCACAGCATAGAACATGCTAGGATCTTACCACAGGAATTACCCAGCCATATTCATGGTTGTTGACACTGGTGATGGAAGAGACATGGTGGTACTCTCCTGTAGCCAGCAACTCTTCAGGATGTTTGGGGAAGAACTGTCCATCAACCACACCAGGGATTATCTTGAACTGCTGAAGAAAGAAGCCAAAAAAAAAAAAGGCAAGTCTATCTCCATAATCTGCCTTCTGTTTATCACTTTCTCATCATTTTCATTGATACCATACTATTTTAGACACTTTTTATCACTTAACTGGACTCTTTTGTTTTCCATTTTGGAGGCAATGAAGGTTAAGTGACTTACCAAGGGTCACACAGCTAGTAAATTACCAAGGCCAGATTTGAAGTCAAGTCCTCCTGACTCCAGGGCCAGTGCTCTATCCATTATATCAAGTAACTGTCCCCACTTATCTGGACTCGTGCAACAGTCTCCAAACTGGCCTCCTTGTCTCCTCCTCTAATTTCTCTCTCTCTCTCTCTCTCTCTCTCTCTCTCTCTCTCTCTCTCTCTCTCTCCCTCCTCTCTTTCACACGTGCACACACACACACACACACACACACACACACACACGCACAGACACCTTTGCTGTCTCAGATCTCCTCATGGCACTCCACTGCATTAAAAAAAATTGCCATGACCTTCCCATTGCCCAAAGAAAGCCTCTTACACTTCAGTCTAGAATTCAGAGCCCTCTCTTCTACCTTTCTAGCCTTATCTCATACCATGTGGACTCTGACTTGTGCCAAATACATTATATTTTACCAGCAATGGATTCCCAGCTCTCTACTGAAAGTCAACCACCTTTTCCTACCTTTCTGCCTTGCTCACTTCTCTCCACATGGCTAGAATGACCCTTCCCCCATTGCTATCCACTGAAATTCTTCACTTCCTTCAAGAGCCTATATAACTCCCACATCTTCCACAAAACCTTCTCTGATAGCAGCCAGAAGGACCCTTTCCTTCCCCAGAGTACCCACTGCATGTGCTTGTGACACTCATGGTGGACTTAGGTTCTGTTACCTGTGTATGGTGTAAAGCCCTCTGCCCTAACAAAGGGAGTTCCATCATGGACCAATTCCTTTATCCAAACTTTGTGTCCCACCCCGGCCAGACACAGACAGTGCTCCAGAAATGCTTCTGGAATAAATGGCAGGAGAGACCTGGCCTGAAAGTCAGTAGATCTGGATTCTGTTCTTGGCTCAGCCACTAACACACTCTGTAACTTTAGGAAAATGACATCTCTCTGGTTTCAATTTCCTCCCCACAAAATGGTACATTGGACTGGATTATTGTCAATATCTTTTCCCATAAAGATTCCTAAAAGAGGGCACTGGAATTGGGCTTTAATGAATGGGGAAGAATTCAGCAGACAAAGAGGGGCTATGACAGCAACAGGTGGGGGAGGAAGGAAGACTGGATTGAAAACAGGGAGACACCTGGGCTTGAATCCCAGCTCTAATGTTCACTGACTGTGTGGTGGTGGAGAAGTGGAGAAGTCACTGCCTCTAGGCACCATAGAGGTTTCTTGTTGTTGTTCAGTTTTATCTGACTCTTCATGACCCCATGGGCCATAGCACACCAGTATAATCCATGGGGTTTTCTTGGCAAAGACACTGCAGTAATTCACCATTTTCTTCTCCAGTAGATAAAGGCAAATAGAGGTTAAGAGACTTGCCCAGTGGGTGTCTCCTGCTAGCTATGAAATCTGGTCTTTCTGATTCTAGACCCGATTCTCTATTCAATGACACCTTCTCAGAGGTTTACTCATCTATAAAATGGGAATAATGATTCTTGCACTCTCTACGTTATGGATTATTATGAGAAAGGCACTTTGTAAACTAGTATGATAATGACAAGGGAGGGCTTTAAAGACACAAGACACTTGAACAAAGTCATGCAGGTAAGAGAGTATAGGGAGCATTTAGAAGACTGAGGACAGATGACTTTGGCTGGAGCATGGAGTGCATGCAGAGAAGTAATATAAGATAAGGTAGGAAAGCCATGGAGGCACCAAACTGTTCAGTAACTGAATACCAGGCTTGGGTTTGACTGAAAGTCAGGAATCCTTTCTTCTCCCATCTCCTTGGCATCTGCTGTGGCCAAAATGAAACTCGACCTCCCAGGTGCTTTGATAAAGAATATTTATAAGACTGTACATTTAGAGCTGGAAGGTGCTTTAGAAAATCATCTGGTCCAATTCCCTCAGTTTCCAGATGTGGAAGCTGTCATCAAATCAGTGTGAAAAAACATAATAGTTTTCAGATTGAAGGAAGAAGATTCAACATGGCATAATGGAGAGAGTAATTAGATGTAGGGGCAGCTAAATGGCATAGTGGACAGAGTGCTGGGCCTGGAGTCAGAAAGACTCATCTTCCTTAGTTCAAATCTGGCATCAGACACTTACTAGTTGTGAGATACTGGGCAAGACATTTAACCCTATTTGCCACAGTTTCTTAATAAGCTGGAGAAGAAAATGACAAAGAGCTCTAGTATCTTTGCCAAGAAATCTCCAAATGAAGTCATAAAGATTCATACACGAATGATTGAAAAATTAGATGCAATTTGATCTAGTATAACACTTATTCTGGTTCTAACACTTACCACTAAGTGAGTACAGGCAAAGAATCCATTCTTTGATGAAGAAAGATCTTGGTCTTAAAGGCCTGGGGTCATGTATCCATCTTGATATTTGCAAGCTGTGTGACATTTGGCAAGGATACTTAACTTTTCTGGGACTTGGTTTCTCCTTTGTAAAATGTCCAATAGATACCTCAATCCCCAAACTGTCTTAGGCTCTGGGAATACAAATATAAAAACAGATAGCTCCCTCACCTCTCCTTGATTCTATTGAATGGATCTAATTCCCAAGTCTGTAATTTGGGACTGACATCACATTTGTACCACCAATGGTATTTGGTTTTTGCAAAGTTATTGAAATGAGATTTTATATATATATATATATATATATATATATATATATATATATATATATATATATATATATGTATATATATGTGTGTGTATATACATGCATATATATACATATATATGTGTATATATATATGTATATATATGTGTGTGTATATACATGCATATATATACATATATATGTGTATATATATGTGTGTGTGTATATACATGCATATATATACATATATATATAATATTTTTATGAAGAGAATATTTAGATGAGAGCTCTTAATCCAAGAGGATAGAGAGAACCTTCCCAGAACTGTGATTCTTTCTTCCAAAAATCCATAGGGTGTTAGATCTGGTTGGTGACAGACAACAGAATATTGGAGCTAGAAGGGACCACCACCACCAACATCATCATCATCACCATCATAATCATAATCATCACCATCATCATCATCATCATAACATTCATTTAGTGCTCAGTATGTACCTGATACTGTACTGATAAGCACTTTACACTTATTGTCTCAATTGATCCTTACACCAACCCGGGGATGGAGGTGTTATTATTATCTCCATTTTATTGATAAGGAAACTGAGGCAAACAGGTTAAATGACAGGTAGTGTCTGAGGCTAGATTTGAACTCAGGTCCATTTTCCCAGCACTCTAACCGTTGCACCACCTAACTGCATCACCATTTCTTAGCTTATAGAATGTTAGAGCATAGAACTTTACAGCTGGAAAAAATATCTTGTACCGTCAAATATTAGCAGTGGAGGTTATTTTGGAACAAATAATTTTGGAACCCAGCATATTAGAATCAGATTAGAATGGATCTTTCCAGCTTTAAAGCTATGATTCTATAAACAGAGAATATTTGAAGAGAAAAGATCATGAGACCAGACAGTGAAAAAGCTTAGCACCTTAGAACCTGCAATGTTTAGAACGCAAAATTTTGGAAGGATTCTTAGACGTACTACATCCAGAGTAGAAGGGATGGAACTTTAGCATCCAAAATAGAAGTAGAGAGCACAGAATGTTTGGAGGTACAAGAGGTCCTAGAAAGCAGAACATAAGAATTAGAAGAGACCTTTGGACACAGAATATTGGAGGTGGAAATATCCTTGAAGATCATCTAGTTAGTAGGGAAAAGTGCAACTAAGACAATGACATTCCCAAGATCTTCCCCTCAATCCCACCTCATGAAGGTTGGGTGCCCAGCCCAGCCCTGAGTTGTTTTGGCAGCTCTTTTTGGTACTGGAACCCTTGCTTCTCAACTTCCATACCTTGGTAATGGCCAGGATCTCACCCTCAGATTTACTCCTAAGGCACTCAACCATGGAGGCAGAACTGTGTCTATCATAAGCAGACAGATTGGCACCCACAAAGAGTTAATAGTCTCACAGAGGAACCCCTGGCCTGTAGCACAATAGAGGAATCCTTTCATACCCATCAGTGAGCTAGCAAAGGATCATTTCCATAGGTGATGATGCAGTAATGGTGAAAAGGAGACCAAGCTGGAATCTGTCTGACCCCCAAAGGGGGTGAGACCCCAATCTCAAGCCTTCTCTGTACAGGGCTCAATGCCAGCCAATGGGGATGCGGATGGGCAGGGGAAGGTTATAAGGACATAGTCCCTGCTCCCAAAGAGCTTACCATCTCCTCAGGGAGAAAAGACATAAATATCCATAAAGGACACACAATGGGGTCTGGTATGTTGAAAGAGCATGATATTGGCTCACAGACCTCAATTCTGGTGCCAGCTCAGTCGCTAACTCATTGTGAAACTTTGGACAAGTCACAAAACTAGAACTAGAGAGGTAGAAGGGAGCGCCCAGATCATTCTATCTAACCTGTACTTGGACCACTTTGAGGAACCTTCCTGCAGTTCTGGGGGTGTCAGAAATCAGAATTTGGAACTAGAAGGGACTTTACAAACCATCAATTTGAATCTACTTTTACAGAGGAAGAAACTGAGGCACCAAGAAGAAAATGTCTTACTTAAAGCCACAGGCATAGGAAGAAGCAGAGCCAGGAACTGAATCCTTCCTCTCTGCCTCAGTTTCCTACTCTGTAAAATGAGGGGGCTGGACTAGATGATCTCTATGGTAACTTTCAGGTTGAACATTCAATGGCATTCCAGTGCACCTTCTTATAGCCCAGGAGAGACGGAAGGCCAATGGGACACTGGGCCTTGGGGTTGGGAGGGCAGTGGGCCTAAGAAAGAATAAGAGGGATTGCAAAGAACAGAGTACAAGCAAGTTACATTCATAACCATTTCTGAGCTGGAAGAAAACAAGCCAGGGAGGATGGCCACACCACTCTCCATGATTGCTCTGTGGAACAAGCCTTTGGACATGGGAGACAGAACCTGGGGAGCAAACGACAAGAGAAAGAATAAGGAAACAGTCATGGGGAGGACCAGACACTCCTGGCTTAGCAGAGACAGAGGAGACTGGGAGTCTGAAGGCCAGGACTCTTACTTACCCTGTCATACCCTATACTAACTGGATAGGACAGTCCCAAACAGTGGCATCTTTATGGGATCTTTAGTACAACCAGGCCTATAAGACAGTTAGACAGAAAGAGGGCTAAGTAGCCTTGGCCATAGTCCAAGACCTTCTGGGTGGTTCAGTAACAAAGTATGATAAGATGCTTGTGCTCTGTAACCCAGCAATGCTTTTCCTACATGATGCCTCATTACAAGATCACATTATTATTGATTATTCTTTTTTATTAATTGTGAGAAAGCCCAGGTTTGTGGTTAGGATCAAATTATTTCAAATCCAACAGCTCTTCCCACTACATCATGGGAATTTCCCACTCATCAGAGTAAAATGGGGATAATAATGGCTTGTGTCTCTCAGAGTTGAAGGATAAAATGAGACACTGTTAATAAAGCAGTATGTAAACTTTAAAGGACCATACAAATGCTAGTTGTTGCTGTTCTGATTTTACACATGTAAATTGCTGAGACAGATCTTGAATTCCCCTATTCAAAGGACTCCTAGTGCATGCTTCTTTCCATGACTCACTGTGCCTTCCAGGGGGAGCCTCCACTATGCTGCTTCCTTCCCTTCCAGCTTACTCCCTGATTTCTTCCACCTCCCCACCTTGCCCCCACTCTCCCTCTCCCCTCCTTTTTCCCACTTTCCTTTCTGTTTTCTCTTCCCCTATTAGAATGTCAAGTCAAGAGACATCTACTGAGCACCTACTATGTGCCAGGCAATATACCAAGCTCTGGGCAAAAAGAGAAAGGTAAACGTAGTCCCTGCCCTCAAGGAGTGTACAGTTTAATGAGGGAGACAGCATGCAAACACCTATTCCCAAACAAGATCTATACAGGAAAGAGTGGGGATGATCCTAGAGGGAAGGCCCTGGCAATAAGGGAGGCAGGGAGAGTCTTCTTGCAGAAGGTGAGATTACCACCAAGTCCTGAAGGACACCAGAAGGAAGAGCAGTGCAACAGATTCAATGGAATATATTATTCAAGGATGAGGAAGGAGGTAGAGAATGTGAAAGAGTATGAGAAAACTAGAGAGGTAGGAGGAGGCCAGGCTCCTCTTCATGGACTCTGTCATCCGGTAACATCACTCTCCTAGTGGCGGCTAGGGGGCATAGTGGACAGAGTACCAGTCTTGGAGTCAAGAGGACCTGAGTTCAAATCTAGCCTCAGATACATAACACTAATAATTTGAGACAGCTCTCATTCCACCTTTTTCCAACAGATCTAGCCTTTCCTCCTTCCCCTCCCCCAAATACCCTCTTGCTAGGATCTTCCAGAGCAAGGACCCCAGTTTGAGACTTTATAGAAAACTAGTCCTGGGGAAGCTAGGAGAAGCATGAGCTTTATTACCGTGTGGTGAACCAAGCAGGCAAAAATGAAAGCAACACACACACACACACACACACACACACACACACACACACACATTATATAAGAACCTGCATTGACAGACAGAGATTCAGGGCACTCACATGTAGGAGAATCATACAGTGGCAAGATCTTGGTGGGAGTACACACTCAGTGGGCTTTGAGAAGGTCAGTTTTATCCCTTAAAGGGAGGTTTAGTTGGAACAATCAGGACAACATGTGAGAAAGGGCATTCTTACAGAGCTATGCAGTCTGCAGGGAATCCATTCAGGAGCTAAGGTAAGTCACAGGATCAGAGTTAAGTCAGGGCTTGTGAAAGTACTGGCTGTCTGCTATTGCTTAAATGTTTTACGATCCATAGGACCACTTAGCCTGTGACTCCAGCTTGGAGTCCTATCACTTATAACAACAACATGACACAATGTATTTAAAAAATCACAGTTGTCCCAATTTCCCTCTCAGATTACTTTTGCTTTACATTGTTTATGTTTTATATCTATATGGCTATTTATATGTTGTCTCCCACTAGAATTAAACTCCCTGAAGGTAGGAATTAACTTTCTTTTGTATCCAAAGCACTTAAAATAGTCATTGGCATATAATTAGTGCTTAAAAAATGCTGGTTAACTGACTGATTGACTGAGTAATGTGGTGATAGTCTGACCTGTGCTGTGGAAGATCACTGACAGCTGAGTGGAGGATGAACTGGAGTAGGGAGAGAAGAGGGAAGGAAGCCAACCAAGCAGGTATTATTAGTCCAAGTGTAAGGTGGTGAGAGCTTGCACTAGAGGGGTGGTAGTGTCAGAAGAGAGAAGTGAGTGTATATAAGAGATGTAACAAGGGTAGAGTCAGTAAGACTTGGCAACATATTGGATAGAGGGGAAAAGTGAGTGAGTACTGGAGAATGACATGTAGATCACAAGCTTGTGACTGAGAGGATGCTGGTCTCTTTAACAAACAATAAGGAAGTTATAAAGAGGGGTGGGCTTAGTGGGAAAGAGAAAGAGTTCAGTTTTGAAAATGTTGAGGTTATAATGGGAGATGCATTTTGAGATAGTTATAGATGGGATACTGCAGGTCTCTGGTCTGGAGACTGGAAGTCAAACTGGAGAGGTTGAAGAGAGTAAAGAAAAAGAATCAAGCTGTCTAGCCATAAAATGGAGGAGATGTAAGGGATGATAGCTAGTGCGAATGGATGAGTGGATGGCTGGCTGGCTGGATAGATAGATCCAGTAAAGTTTTTTGAGAGTAGAGGAGAGACAAGGACGAGTTTGTAGGTAGTAGGGAAGCAGCTGGTGGAGGGTGGAGGGGGAATGGGGGAGAGAAATGGGGGAGAGAAAAGAGGGAGAGAGAGAGGAGAGCAAGATTAAAGAATCTTGAAAGTGAGAATGATGGAAAGGGCAGTCTTCTGGAGAAGACTAGATGGAATGGAATAATTTGTGTGTGTAGAAAGATTAGTCTAAGTGAAAAAAAAAAGGTCCATCTGTTCACATAAGTTAGGTAAAGGAGAAGATAGTAACAGAAGGTATCTGATTAATGTGAGATAAGGAGGAGGGGATATGAGGGAGCTCAGTGGGTGGCTCATTTCCCCCCCAGCAAAATAGAAAGCAGGGCTCTAGTTGAGATGGTGAAGAGAGGATGAGCCATGAGAACTTTGAGGAGGCATGAACGGGTTTAGAAAAGCCACTCTGGTGAATGAGACAGTGAACTGATTATTTAGGTTCAAAAATGTTGCCTCAGCAGAGTGAGGACTCAGTTAAGATTATGTAACATTAATCTGCATGGATGCAGGCAACATGGTTTCATGATTTTCTCTAGCTTCATTCAGCAGTATGCAAAGAAGAGCAAAAGGAATGGTTGATGGGAGTAATCCAAGACTGAGGTTTGGCAGGGAAAGATTTGTCTTAGGATAATGGTTCAGTGTAGAATTGAAGTGGTTCACTAAGGAGTTAAGATGGAGAATTGGAGAGAATATGACCAGGCAGGGGGGATTGCTTGGGAAAGAACTGAGGGGTGGAGAGATTGAAGGTCAAGGTGAGTATGAAGAACAGGGTTAGGGCTTAGCAGGCAGAGGATCTAGTGGAATGATAAGAGAGTATAACTAGATGGAGGAATTTCAGAGTTAATGAACATAGAAGTGGAATACTCATGAGTCAGGGTAAAATCAAGAGTGGTACCATCTCTGCATCTAGCTGAGGTAGGGTGGAAGAGTAGGTTATGAGAAAGGAATACACTGAGGAACTGGGGAGTTAGAATGTTGAAAGGAATATCAAAATGAATGTTGAAGTCCCTCAGTATGAAGGTGGGGCTTGGGAAAGGATGAAAGACTGGAAAGAAGGCACTGAACTCATTGAGAAAGGAAGGAGAGTGTCCCAGAGGATGGTAAACAGCTACTAGAATCTTGATTAGGTGATAAATATGGACTGAATGAACCTCGAAGGAGGAGAAGTTGCTTAATGATGGTGGTAGAGAGAGAGTCTTGAAGTGGTCGTGGGAAACAGAGTATTTTGGCTTCCCAGTGATGGAGGCATTAGTGAAAATGGAAATAGGGCTGGAAATGGACACCAGGAAAGCTGTGTCATCAGAAGAAGTCAGGGTTTGGTGGGTACAAATAGCTAGAAGGGGTGAGAAAGGAAAGGGTTAAAGATGAAAACAAGCTTGTTACTTATGAAGCAGACATTCTAGAGTGCACAGTGAAAGGGGTAGGTAGCTTTAGAGTAAGACACTACAGAAAATAGGTACTTGGAAAACTAATGTAACCATGGGCCTTATTACTATGTAGTACAGCAACCTGGGGTTAGGTTAACACAGTAGGACTATCTTGCTTTCTTGTTTTGTAACTGCAGCACTTAGCACAGTACCTGGTGCTTACCTTGTGAACAATGTTAAAGTAGCTCTACATGTGAGTGAATTCACTTATCAAGATACTGTATATCAAGAGCTGACAGGATACGCATCAGAACATCTCAGGTAAGAGCCCACTTGACTTGACTCAGAGGCAGTTCAGATCCTCTTTGGAATCTTCCTGGGACAATCAGCTCCCTATGGATCATAGGTTTTAGGGCTGAAAGGGATTTTAGACTGCCTAGTGAAACACCCCCATCCGACAGATGAGGAAATTGAGGCCCAGAGAAGTTAAGTGAGTTTCAAAAGGTCATACAGCTGGTAAGTGGCCGAGCTGGGCTTTGATCTCAGGAATTTCCCCTCTAAATGCTATGTTCTCTTCACCATACTCTGTGGTTTGGTTGCTACTACACCCATCTCCCTTCCCACCCTCCATATAAAATATAAACTGTTAGGGCACTAACAATGAAGAATACTGTAAGATCCCATTCTTTCTAGTATAACTGGTCTGAAGCCAGTCTTTCTGAGCTTTGCCTGAGTAAGCTCAGTTTCTCTTGTAAAAAAGGTCGCTGCTCCATGGAATGAGGCAACCTGACACCCACCCCAGCTCATTCCTTCCTTCCAGGTGCCCCTTAGTCTCCTGGAAGCAATGGAAATTCATTCATTATTTCCCTTTGCAGGGCCAGCATGGGTGGCATTTCCTCTAGTCTTCGAATCCTCCAAGCCCTGGAGTATTCCAAACTCCAAACTCCTTTTATGAAAACAACTCTGATAAACTATATATAGGAACTTGCTCTGGCTTTGTGGTATATTCATTCATTCAATACATTTACTGAGTACCTACTATGTGTAATGGGTATTTTGAATAAGACTAGGTCCCTGTTCTCAAAGTACTTTCAATGAATGAAGGGGCAAGGATAGGCTATGGATCAAAAACCATAATACAGACTGTTGTATTCTATATTGGGCCAGCTAGGTGGCATAGTGGATAGGGTGATGGGCCTTCAGTCAGGAAGACTCATCTTTCTGTGTTCAAATCTGGCCTCAGTTTTGAGTCATATGACCCTGGGTAAGTCACTTAACCCTGGTTGCCTCACTTTCCTCAACTGTAAAACGAGCTGGAGAAGGAAGTGGCAAACCACTGCAGCATCTTTGCCAAGAAAACTACAAATGGGGTGATGAAGAATCTGACACAACCGAAAAACGACAGAAAAACATTGTCTGTACTAAGTGTCATAATGTGTATGATAATAGGGAATAGGGATAGGGTAATAGGCATAGGGAAAATCCAAAATAACATTGAGATAGCTCAGAGGTGAGAGAAACCACACCTCTGTTTGTGTCCCCAGCACTGAGGAGAAGGGCTCCAGGCTTGTAGAAATGGTTGTTGAGTTGAATGTTGGTTTGTTGAGGTTCAGAGAAGGCTTCATGGGGAGATGACATGTGAGCAGTTTTAGTCACTATCATTTATTTTAAGAAAGGAAGCCTGGTGTGGATGATGGAGGGCTAGCCTTGGAGTGAGAAGGGCTGGGTTCGAGTCCTGCCTTGGGCCCATATGAGATATGTGACCACAAAGAAGTTACTTAGCATCTCAGTACACCTGACAAGCCAAGACTCTAAGTGACAAAGGAGGTGCCTGTCCTCGTCAACAGAGAGAGTTCCCACATAGTAGAGTTCCCTACAGCAATCAGATGATAGCTCTGGACAGGGTCAAGAAGTGTTTGGAAGGTCATACTTTCTCAAGGCTTTGCTCTATTCCTTTAGCAATAATAATATTTAGCAGAAATTGATATCATTCCAGGTCATGGAACCAACTGCGTGACGTTATTTCAGTCATTTCCAGTAATGTCCAACTCTCCATGACTCATGATAATTTGGAGTTATCCTGGCAAAGATACTGGAGCTCATTTTCCAGATAAGGAAACTAAGGCAAACAGGGTGAAGTTATTTGTTCAGGGTCACACAGCTAGTAAGTGTCTGAGGCCAGATTTGAACTCAGGAAAATGAGTCTTCCTGACTCCAGGCCTGGTACTCTATCCACTGTGTCACCTAGATGCCTTGAAGGTATAAGGAGGCAGATTTTAGCCTCACAGAAGCAAACGTTTGCTAAAAATGTGAGTTGTTACCCAGAAGTAGAGTGGATTGCCTTGAGAACTAGTGAGCTCCCTGACCAGGAGAACTTCTGGGAAGGGTAGATGACTTGCCAGAGACACAGAGAGGATGACTGTTCCTGTGATGGTGGGGTGAGAAGTCCTCCAAGGTCCCATGCAGTTCTCATGCCTTAGGATTCTCATTCCCCACTAGGAAAAGTACAGAGATCTGGCTTACCAGCAATCTGGCCCCTCCTTTTCATGGTCAGGAACATAGATATGGAGGTACAAACAGTCTTCAGAAACAGCGGCCAGAGGGGTGTTTACTTTCATGGTCCTTGCCATTTTTTCTAGAGTAGTGACATCCTGCAAACACTTGGAAAACACAAACGATGAATGATCTGAATAGAATCACATGGGGATGATAATAATAGTATAATAATAATAATAATAATGTGAATTAATAAAGTGGGTGAATATCCTGGAATGTGATTGCACTGAAAGAGAGGATGAATGTGAGGAACTAAGAAAACCTTCTGAAGATCGATGAAAGTTGAGCTAGACCAAGACAGACCATGACTAGAGGCATTTTAACAAGAGCATCACTGCTGGCCAATGTGTCAGTTTGATTTTCTTTGTTACAGAGGAGCTTTAGTTTGGAGGGGTGGGAGGGAGGCTGGGTTATGGAAGTGGCAGTAAGTGTGGTCTCCAAAGCAAAAAGCTTAAAACTGCTTGAAAACAAAACCAGGGGTCAGATTCAATGACCTCCAGCTTTCTGAGCCTATCAGTCTGTGAATTCTGGCTTTGTTATTTACTAACTTTGTGACCTTGGGTGAGTCACTGAATCTCGGTTGTTATTCAGTCCTGTCTGACCTGTCATGACTTCTTATGGGGTTTTCTTGGCAAAGATACTGGAGCAGCTTGCTATTTCCTTCTCTAGCTCATTTTGCAGATGAGGAAAATGAGGCAAAGAGGATGAAGTGACTTGCCCAAGGTCACATAGTAAGTATCTGAAGTGAGATTTGACTCAGGTCTTTCTGACTCCAGTCACAGTATTCTATCCTCTGAGCCACTCAGCTGCCTCTAATCTCTGTTAGCCTTTGTTTTCCTATGTGTACCAATATGCATTTTTCTGAGTCTGTTATTTTCTAAAATCCGAATAAACATGAACTGTTATCATTAAGCAGTTATCTGAGCCCAGGGAACATTCATACCTTCAACAAATACTCAACAAATGTCTACTGTGTGCGGAGCACAGAGAGACAAAATGTGAGCAAGACGTGATGGCGCCCTGGGCTTATCTCATAAGAAAAGCAGAGAGGAAGGCACTTAAATAGGTGGAAAAGTAGTTGTATCTCTCACATTGCTCCAGGAATCTGGTGGTTTTGGAGGAGAAAACCTCAGGGCCCCTACAGGGAATTTGGCAAAGAGGATTCCCAGGAAAACACTGAGAACTTTGTCAATCCCCTTGATACTGATTTGAGTCCCTTGAATCTGTCCAGACTCAGTGGTCCTGATGAGGTCATCTGCATGACGCCCTGTGAACAAAAGGGACAGAAATCCCCAGGGACAGAGGGTTGAAATGATGTCCAAATGCCCCTTCTAAATTCCCCGTTGTGACCATTTTTTCATTAGATGGGAATGCAAGCCTCCTCCTATTTCTGCCATGATTCTTTTCATTTCCCTTAAAGATCTCCCGTGATGGAGAATTTACTCCAGAGAAGAACCATTTGCACTTTTAGAGAGCTCTCTCAGTGACTCAGGAACTGTCCAGCTTTGGGGAAACTGAGGCTCAAGATCAAAACCACTGCTTCCCAATAATCCCACCCCCAGCCCTGCTTAGGAAAGCACAGAGCTAAAAATCTGTGCCATATAGTTTATCAGTATGACCCAACTGATCCAATACTTAAGGAGCACCTACTATGGGCAATGCCCTCAGCTCTGAATTGAGGATCAAATGGCAGAAATTTCCATTCTCCTAGAGAGCAATGACCTGTGCACCAATAACTAGGAATACAAGGGAGAGGTATAAAGGAGAGTTCCTCACAAAGAGGTAGGAAAAGATATGAGAGGGTCAGGAAAAGCTGTGCTACAAGTGACAGTGCCCAAGCTGGGACTTTAATGAAGAGTCTTCAACAGAACTAGACTAGGGGAATTGTTTTCTTGGCATGGGAAAGACAGTAGACAAAGAAGGGAGACATGCGACTGCAGGGGATGAAAGGCAGATGAAAAGTAATTACATTCGGCTACAGTATAAACAGAAAGACTCATGTTCCTGAGTTCCAATCCAGCCTCTGATATTTCCATGGGCAAGGCATATAACCTGTTTGCCATTAGTTTCCTCATCTGTAAAATGAGCTGGAGAAGGAAATGGCAAACCATTTCCAGTATATTTGCCAAGAAAACCCTAACTGGGGTCACCAAGAGTGGTATGTAATTGAAAAAGAACTGAACAACAATACAACAAATGTGAATAGAGTAGTAGGTGAGAAGGCTGGATGCACAGAGTACTATATTTGGGCTCAGAGAATAGGGGCTCAACTATAGCTCTCCCTTTTACTGCCTGTGTGAATTTGTTACAGTTTTGTTCCCTTTCTTAGGCCTGTTTCTTCTCTTTGATGAAATGGGAAAAGGGCATTGAATTCAATGGTCCTTAAGAGTCCTCCCAGCTCTCCATCCTAAGTCCAAGAGCTAGAGACTGCTGAAGTGTCAGGTCACATGGCTACTCTCTGCCTGGATCAGAAGGTAAAGAGTCAGGTGTTGTTGCGGACACCTGTGTCCTTGACAGTTTTTGTTTTCCGGCCAGCATGAGAGAGAGAAAGAGATATGCCTGCGGGTCAGGTGGGTAACAGGTTCAGAGCCAGTTCCGTTTATCAATCTGAGGGCTGGGGTTTTTATACTCCCATTCATGGAAATAGAACCCAGAGTGGAAAAAGCCATGTATCAACAATAGTTTTTCTCATGGTAACAGTAACTGAGGGGAGTCCCCCCCGGAGTTGTCTCCTTGCTTCCTGGTAATCTTTCAAGGTCTGTTGAACATCCTTCATCTTCTCAAGGGAAAGACAGTACCTGGGAGAGGTCAGAGAGCCTGCATTCTGACCTAGGTGGCTTTTAGATAATAGACAGAAACAGGAACAACCTGGCCTGACCTAAATCCTTAAACCCATCAGTGCAAGCCCTTAACAATCTTCCCCCTGACTGTTTAACTTGAGAAGATGAAGGGATGAAAAAATCTCACCTAAAGTATGGCGAGTGTATTTTAACAATCAGGGAAGGAGGAAACACAAAATTAATACAAAACATAGCCAAGGTAAAAACGCAATAACAAACTTAATGCATTCTCAAAAAGATTAAGGTGATCAATCCAATCTAACAATTTGTTTGCAATATCTTTAGGATCAATACCATCAATATAAGAATCAGCAGTTTCATGTTGTATTTTGGATAGTTGGCTAATTTTCCATGCAATAATTTCAGAGTGCCAAGCACCCTGGAGCTTCTTTAATATTTGTTCAATAGTTACATTAGTAAAGTTTGAATACACATATGGAGTTACACAGATAAATAAATAGTCATAATCACATTTCAAATTAGAGTGTATTGTTAATTGTTCTATTTGTCTTCTTAAAGCTATCACTGATTGCTCTGAAATGTCCAATTCTTGTTGCATCATAGTAGCTATATAAATTTGATATTGTAAAATCATAGACCAATTGTTAACATACTGAGCAGTTCAAAATTGGCAGTAATATCATGAAGGGTATTAATATTGAGGGTAATATTAGAATTGTGCCATGCCCTCAATAGGTGGGTATGTCTCTTGTCTCATGAAGCATCATAGGGTAGCAGGGTAATGTAAACATATGAATATTTATAACCATATTGCAATAGCAACCTTGTTGTCAAGGTTTCTAACTTATTTTCTAAATACAGTGCTGATTGCTCTAATAAATTGACTTTATACAATATATCAATAGCTTCTTGTGCTTTAAGTAGTAAACATTGCTAAGTAATATACAAATTATGCAGTTTAAATTTTAAATTGAAGCACAATAGATAAAACAGTAGTAGATACAATAAAAGGAGCAACAATGATTAAACCAATAATAAGGAGACCAATAAATTGTTTTGATTGACTTAATGAGGAAATAATAATTTTAGGAGCATGTTTACCAGTTCTGGAACTATTCATGTGGAATCTTAGTAGGGAAAATAACAAATGATTATTGTTTTACCAAAAGTACAATATAGTCATTATGATCAATACATTGTTTGAGAGTACAATTGACACAAGTAACATTCCAATTCAAAAATAGTATTAGATTGAATAAAATTTACATATCCATTAGACAAATGGGTATTAACAAATGATGTAACAAAGAAAAGACATGATTCAATATTGTTGCTAAATTTTGAAAAACATGTAGGTGTCCTGGATGCTAGAGATCTTCTTGTCTTACGAATATACAGGTGTTATTAGTATACATATAGTCCCAATTTGTCCATATTTGTGATAGGTTGCAACCATGGTGGTAAAGGAAAAAGAAGTCCAGTGCTGAGCATTCTGTACGTTACACACCTGAGCAGAAAGTAAAGCTACTATTGCTAAAAATAGAAGTTCAGGAGTCTTTTATCACTGGATGAGAGGGAGCTTTCACTTGACCCCATGTGGGAAGGCGACTCATCACCGTAGATTGCCTCCTTCTGCACTTCTCCTGAATTCTCATACTCTGCATTCGAGCTGTGAGGTGTTATACATGCTCTGACATTTTTCTCCAGTATCCAGGCAGGTTTATCAAAGTTTTCTGAAAAAAATACAAGCCCACCCTCATCCCCTCATTAGTAATGGATCCGGTAATGGATCCAGGCCTGTGGATGTTTTTAGGCTGGAGTGTACTCATCTTTGTTAATATTTAGAAAATTAATAGCCAATTGCAAAAAATATAACCAATTATCAAAAATTAATAGCCAATTGTTGATAAGGGGTAATAGCCCATGTTCCCCCTTTTTTGTAAAAAAAAAATTTTTAACATTTTTGTTTTTAATTATATAAAATGTTTGTGATTAGAGATATGTAATAAAAAGAATAAATAGAAGAAAATGTTTAGTAACATACGTAAGAGTATTATTTGTTTTAATTTGTGTAAGTACACTCAATAATTGTGAAGGCCTGTAAAATGTGATTGATTACGTTTTAATTGTTCCACTTGTTTGAAAAGTGGCAAAAGTGAAAGAAGAAAAAATATCAATTATGACATGAATATAAGAAAGCTTTTCAAAAGAAGGCATATAAGTTATATTCGATTGTCAATTATGTTTGGGAGAAAAGCCCTTTGATATATATATGAAACAGGCTATTAATTTAAAAAAATAATCATTATTCTTTATACAATGTTTGTAATACTGTAGGAGTTTATTTAAAAATAGTCCCAAAATATTTTCTTCTCATAAGTTAAGGTGGTTGTGTTGGCAGAATATAATCAATAAAAGGCTCAATAAAAACTTAATAAAAAGTTGTGTTAGCAATTAATAACTTGTAAAAGTGTTGGGTAGAATTGTAATTAAGAATCAATAATGGTATTACTTTTCAGTAAAAAGTCTGGACAAATTAAATGTACTTGTATGTAGGCAATAAAATAAGGTAATAACATGAACGAAGTGAGGTTTGAAGTTGGTATAAAGGAGTATATAACTGTGTATTAGTAATATATTTTAACTTTGCAGTCTCTGTATTTTGAGAGACATAAATAGATTATTTGCTAGTAGAAACAGTATTAACAAGCTCAGCAAAATCCTGTTATATATTTGTATTTAACCCATTGAGGAATGCAGTGGGTGTTGAAAGAATGAGGTTAAATTTAACATTTTTTTTAAATGACCATGAATAATCAGTAAAAAAGGTTAGTATTTTGAGAGACGGTTAGTGATTATCAATATCAATATGATCAGAAAAAAAAATAACAGCAATTTGGCAATCTTTTAAAAAGGAAACAAGAGTGTCTATTTTTTATTATAAGGTTGATGAATAACTGCAAATAAATTTTCTGTAAATTAAAAATTGTAGAGGACACTGGAGTACCAAGAATAGCACCTTGCACTTCTATAAAGAAATATGGGTGAGATGAATTTTAGGAATTTTTCTGTTTGACTAATTAAAGCTCATGTTTTGTTTTAAGAGTTAATATGCTAGGGGACTTTAAATAAGGATCTTCTCTTAATGTAAAAAAGAAATTACAGAAATGTTCTGTAGTAATTTGGAGTGGTGGTCGGAGCTAATTAATATCCTCTAGAAGTTTTTGAAAATCATTAAAATTAAATGCTGTTAAAGAATTAAAAGGTAAATGTACTTTTTGTGGCTTCACTGTTGTTTTGGTGACAATATGACCTAGGTAGAAGAATGAAGATTTTTCTTAAACTTTTTCCAGGGCTATAATAAGCCCAGAGTCTTGAAAAGCTAATTAAAGCTGAAATAATAAATATGTGAGTTCACTTTAAATGGAACAGCTACAAAATAGGTCACTATGTAATGTATCATTTTTAGCTTTTTGTAACGGAGTAGTAAAAAAGCAATCTTTTAAATCAATAACTATCAAAGGCTAGGAAGTCATAAAGCATCGTCAATTTTCCTGACTTCTTTTCAATAATAAAAACAGGTGAATTTTAAGGAATCCAAACATGTTTATTAGATTTCTTTTGTATTTTGTCAGTTTTATGCATAGGTAAAGCACAAACAGTGGGTGGGAGAAAATAACAGTTCTCATTAAATGTGAAATATTGTGCCCCACAAATTAAGGGGAATTAATTGAGTTTCAACTATGTTTTATTCTACTAGTTTAAATTCATCTTAAAATAATTGATTAGTAGTGATCTATTAGGCAGGCTAAAAGTAATTAATATCCTTAAAAGTCACTTGAAAATTATTAAAAGTTATTAAGGAATCTTGACTAATTTGTAATATTTTGGTCCTAATTGTAGACTGTGAACCAATATGTCTAAATTTTAAAGTAAGCAAAGGGTGATTTCTATTGTACCTTTTAAGGGGTAATTATTAATCTATGAGACTGAAAGGCTTGTTAAAACTTAGGCATTAATAAGGAGAGTTTGGTAGTAGTAGGATAACAGTAAAGTTTATCATCCATATAATAAATCATTTTTGTCTGGGAGTATTTTTGCCTAACAGGTATAATAGTTTTACGAACAAAATTTTGGCCCCTGGTGGGAAGCATTCTTTCTTAAAAGAACATAATAAGAAAACTTCAAATACTGATTTAATGGAGGCAACTATACTTAAATTTAAACTCAAAACAAAATTAGTCATAGTCCTAAGAGTCTTTTACTTAAAACAGTAAGTTTCACTAATTATGACTTAAAGCCAGATACAGTTAATTTTATTTTCATGGAAGTGTAATAGGCAATAAAGATTTACTAGGACTCACATATATAAGAAATTTTACTTAACATCCTTTCTTTCCCAAATTTAAACTTGTCTTGGTGAAAAAGCCAATTATTAGAAATCATTTATATAAAGTTGCAATTTCACAGTAAGCTAAATGAATTGTTCAGGAACTCAATGACATAGACAAATTCTTCTCTCAGAGCAGACGACCTTGCTCAGAAAGCTGATTGCTAAGATTGGCAAACTTACAAAGTAAAGGGAATTGCCTTGTGCCCCTCCTTTTCACTCATATGTAATTCAAAATTCTAAGTTTTAATTTTAAAACAGTGACTTCAAATAACTTAGTTAACAATTTGGTAATTTTCATAAATGATATTTAAATTGTTTTAGCTCTAAGTTGTTTGTTAATCATAGGTAAAGATGGGAATACCCAATTTTCTAATTGACAGTTATAGAACATTACAAAACAAGATTAACTGGACTTGATAAAATAAGCTAGCTGGCTTTACACAGCTTTCCCACTATCTTTTAGTTCACATTTTAATAACATCCAAATTATTAAAAATTGTTTGACATAAAAATTAACCAATTTGAAGCAATACTATATTTTTAAAATTTGAAACTAACATATTACTAATTTGAATAAACTAAATTATCTTTTGATTGTGTTCCAATAATTAAAAACTTTTCTTGTTGATCTGTGGAGGAAAACTCACCCTCCTTTTCTCCTCGTTCTTTCTCACCCACCCCAACCTGGCCAGGGTTGGAATTCGAGAGAAAGGAAGAGAATATTTTTCAACAACTTATCTTTGATAATCTTTCAATCTTACACCCAAAGCTTTGGCCAGAGCTGTAGAATGCAAAAAATAAAGAGAATTTTTTTTAAACAATTCTCCAAAAGTTTCCAAATCTTTTACTCTCAAATCATCTATTCCTGCTATTCATGCAAACAGATTATACTATTCTTTCTACCCATACTTTTCTTATTCCTGTATGCTTAAACTTTCTTGCCTTTTGTCAATTATATAACCTAAATAATGAAGTACTTTTCCTCCCATTCTCTCCCCCATCCACCTGCTCCTGGGAATGTGGCTGGTATTAGGGAGGGGGAAAGGGAGCAAGAAAAACGGCATTTCAGAGTCCAGCTCTGGCTGCAAAGGTTGCAGATTACACATATTATACACAGACAATTACAGACAATCATTCATACCTCACAGACACCCACAGGAAAAAAAATGACAGGAAGAATCCAAAAGTGAGAAACTTGTCAGAAATCCTCTACATGAATCAAATAATATCCTTTTTTATTTTATTTTATCTTTTCTTTTCATGGTATTGTAGAGGTTATAGAGGCCGAGCAAAATCTTTCTTAAGGTTTTGATGTTTATAAGAGGCAAAGCAATCTGTAGTTTTATAGAGACCTCTAGTCCTGCCACCTGAGCCTTTTTTACAGCTTAGGGCATGGAGAGTGTGGAGCGAGTGTTGAAACTTCAGCTACTTTATTACTTACTTCATTTTTAATTTCTGTTTTGGTTAACATTTCTGCAACTTTTTCCTCCTTTATAGTGGAACAAGAGGCTTCTTCATTAATTACTTTTGTGGCTAAAGACACCTCTTCTGGTTTTTGGAGACATATTTTAAGTATATTCCAAATTGCGAAAGTGAACACTGGAAAAGCACCAGGTCCGTGTTCTTGAAGATAGTAATCACTTAATTGTTCACCTACTATTTCCCGTTTTTCTATATCTATCATCCTTTCCTTGAAAAGCCAAGGACAGCATTGTTCCACTGTATCTAAAAATTCAACCAGCTGTCCAAAAGTGATTAATAATCCCCTGCCTATTGCTATTGATTTTAACATTTTTAAAGGATATTTTCTGCCTCTTTTTTCTGCTGAAGATCTCTGCCCCATCTCAACTGGTTATATTTTCTTATATTCTCAACTGATTATCTTTTCTTATGCTCTCAGTCAGCCCGTGTAACTTCACCTTCACTGTAAACTGAATATAACAAGGTACTTCAATTGAAAGTGAAAATAAAATACACACACTGATCTATTTTTCTAATATACCACTAAACCTGGTGAACTAAAACTACTTACGAAGAAATTATCGCCCTTACCTTGCTTGTGGTCTTTTTTCAAACGGCAGGAATCGCCTCCGTTCCCTTTCCGGCGATCCATTTGCTGTCTTTTTTCAAACAGCGGGAGTCATCTGCTTTCCGGTGACCATTTACATTATTGCAAATGTATAACCTATATCAGATTGCTTATCATTTTGGGGAGGGAGGATGGCAGGAAGTGGAGGAGAAAAAATTTGAAACTCAAAATCTTCTAAAAATGAATATCAATTGAGCAGAGACAGAGGCTGTGGACCCCTGGCCAGTTCCTCCGGAGTTTCCACTCCCCTCTGCACCCACTGCTTCTGGCTTCCAGACCTCAAACCAGACTGCCTCATCCTGGAACTTTCCACAGTGCCTGGAGCTTCCTTGCCCAGGTACAGCCAACCACTGCTGGAAACTCCTCAATTCAGAAGCCCCTCTGCAGTGCTGGTCCCATCTCCCATTGCCACAAAATAAATCTCCTGTGAAGTAAAGGACCACTTAGCATTCCTGATGAAAAGGCCAGAGCTGGGAAGAAACTTTGAAGTGCAAACAGAGGAGTGAAGAAAAACCATAAAAAGGAGGCTTTGCAATGTTCCAGAGCTTGATGAAACCAGTATGATGTTGTCCACAAACAGGACCAACTAGAGGCCGTCACTATCCAAAGGGAATCTTTGTTTAGCCCAGACTGAGCTGATCTCCTCCACCCCAATGGTGAACAACTTAGGTTTTCCAAAATATTTCCTTCTATCCTCATTTATTTCCAACTTTGCATTGAAGTCATTAAGTATCAAAGTCAATGATAATATAATTTGAAGGGTTATACCAAGATCTTCACAGAATTTCTCTACACACTTATCCTCTCGAAGAAATGTTGGTGTACAGCATACAATTATCTTCACTGTCATCTTTTTACAGGAACTTATCACAAGAAAAACCAATCAACAAGGATTATTAAGCACCTACTATGTACCAGAAAGGCACTGAAGATACAAGTACCAAGAATGAAACAATCCTTGTTTTCAACAAAGCCACATTTTAATGGACTCCAAATGTCCCAGGAAATGAGGTTCCTTGTGGCCCTTAAGCATACAACAAAACCAACTCTGCCACATCTTTTATTTGCATCTCTAAGAAGAACCTGTGAGCCACTCTTGGCTTTCTCATTCCACTTATAGCAGTAATTTCAAGATTGATACAATTCCATTGCTCTCATGGTAGGTCCATTCATTTGTCACTGGTGAAGGATCTCATATTCAGATTGTTAAATTTATAAATGTAGGGGGAGAAAATCTCTGAAGCAAGTTTCTTTTATTTTCAAGATCTGTAAGAGACTAAACCAAATTATTTTCTAAGTACCATTCTCCAATAGATAAGTGGCCAAAGAATACGAACAGAAAATTTTCAAAGGAAAAAAGCCAAGCTATCAAAAATAATGTAAAAAATCTTCAAAACATTAATTCTTAAAGAAATGCAAATTAAAGCAAATTTAAGTTTCCGCGGTATGCCTATTATCAAACTGGCAAAAGAAGAAAAGGACAAATGCTAGAGGGTCTATAAGAAAATATGTATACTAGTGCATGGTTAGTAGAGCTGTGATTTGGTCCAGCCTTTCTAGGAAGTATTTGGAACTATGTCCAGAAAGTTACCAAACTGAGTATACCCTATGAGCTAGCAATATAACCACTTGATGTGTGCCCCAAAGAGATCAAAGAGAGAGGAAAAGGATCCATAGGCACAAAAATATTTACAGTAGTTCTTCACAGTAGCCAGGAATTGGAAACCCAAGAACTGTCCTCTTTCTGGGTAATGGCTAAAGAAATTGTGATGTATGAACATAACAGAACATTACTGTGCCAATAAGAAATAATGAAATGGACAATTTCAGTGGAAAACAGGAACGCCTTTATGAATCAGTGCAGAGGAAAGTGGGCAGAACCAAAACAATTTGTACAATGGCAACAACATTCTAAGGAAAAACAACTTGGAGAGACTTTATAACTCTGATCTAACTAATTCTGATAAAACATGAATCTAAAAGAATGATGATAAAATATTCCACTTACATCTTGAAAGAGAGAGAGGTGAAGAAGATAACATGCAGAAAAAGACCTACATTTTCAGACACAGTTAATGTAAGAATGTGTTTTTTTTCAGATTTTATAGATATTTATTAAAGGATATGTTTTGGTTTTGTGTTGTTTTTAATTTGCTTAATGGAGGAGTGGTAGTAAGAGGGGCATATTAATGAAAAAATATTTGTTACCTGAATAACTTTTAAAATGTTTATTACTGTTTCTAGATTTAAAAAGATATATTACCATACTAATATATCATGTGCATCACAAAATATACACAAAAATAGGAGTTCTAAAAGGACGAGATAAAGTAAAGAATATTTTAAAAGAATTTGTATTTTATATAACAATAATACAAAAACACCTTTTGCTCTCATTGTTAATGCCATCATTAGTAAATATAATTTTGAAAGGAAAAAAATATGAATGTTCAAAACTATCTTTACATGTTCTTGGAAAAAAATACTATTTAGCAAAAAAAAAAGAAAGAAAGAGAAAATAAAGAAATAAGCTGTGCCACATTACCTCATACAAACTCAGAGCTTTTGTTTCCAGTCTGAAAAAAGATCCTCCTCCCCAAACCTCACTCTTACTACCTCCTTGAAAATCACTCAGCTTTCCCTCTCTCCCCACCCCACCAACAGCTGATAGAAGACTTTTTGTAAGTAACACTTGGAGAAGTTATCAATTTCTTAGCTGCAAATTAAGTTTGGCCTCCTGAAATCAAACTAAGAATAATCTTTCACCCCCAAAACCACCCATCGAATCAGTCAGTGAAGGCAACAAGAGAAAAAGCAATGCACAAGTCCTGTACCTCCCATGAGAAAATCAAAGGACTCCTCCCATGCCCCCTGAAATCATCTCCTACTCTGGGTCAGCCTGGCAGAGCTCCTCACCTGGGGCTTGAATCAGGATGCTCAGGATGCCCAAAGTCAGGACCTTGGGCAGCAGGGAAATCTTCCCCATCTTTCCCTCTGCACAGCCTTCTGGTGATGCCTAATCAGGCACTTGGCCTGGCCTTTAATACAAAAAGAGAACCTGATCCAAGGGCACTTCAGGGAAATTGGGGCTAAGTGTTACTTAAAGGACTTTCTCCTCAGACTTTGTCTTAGACATATTTGAAAAAAAATTAGATTGAATCTTTAAAGGAAAAAGAAAACATGTGAAAATCTATCTGTCCAACAGGGATATGCTGGTAAATGTGTAATAACAACCTCACCAGAAAACAAAAACAAACAAACAAATATGTCCATGAAATACTTCTAATTTAATCTCTATTAGTAGCATTGTTTCCAACACTTAAGTCTAGACAATCAACAGAAGGATAAATCAAGCCCTGAATGGTAGCATTTTCTGATTTCAGAGGGGCAAATATGACAATGGGTTCACAAGAGCCAGTTGGAGCTGCCCCCACCACTTCACCTGAAGGGTCAAGGTCAAAATTTGAATTATGCAACTTAACCACTCTCCCTCTCAATTTCTGAAGACTTCTATGACCTTTCACCTCTTGAAGATCTTCAGTTCCTTTGTTCACTTCCAGATCCCATTTGGGGTCTCATCAACAAAGATACTGGAGTGGTTTGGTATTTCTTTCTCCAGCTCATTTTGCAAATGAGGAAACAGGGGTAAGTGACGTGCCGAAAGTCACACAGTTAGGAAGCGTTTGAGGCAGGATTTGAACACACAGTGCTAAGGTCTGAGAATACAAATACCAGCAGAAATACAACCCAAGAACAGTGGGAACTTGCATTTTGATGGAGGGAAACAACAGATAAAAGATGGGGGATGGAGAAGGAGAAAGGGAGGAAGGTACCATTAAGAAAGTACTTGGAGAGTAGGGAATGTGGTATGGAGAGGAATGAAAACATGGTTGGCTAGGGCCTGCCACTTAAAACAGAGGTTTGAAGAGCTCCCATAAGGCAGAAGACATCACCTCACCAGGCCACTCATTCTATGTTAACAGTTCTGATCCTTAGCACATCTTTCCTGGCATCAAGTCTAATTTTGCCCCTTTGTAACTTTGCCCCAATCTTGAGTTCCTGCCCTTGGGGAACCAAACAGACCAAATCTAATTCCTCCTCATTATGATCTTTGAAGTGTTAAGACAAAGAGTGCTTCTACCCTCATCAAACCAATGCAAACCAAATTCTTAATGGGTTATGAGGCAAGATCTCCATGGTGATCATTCTGTACTAGCCCCTGCATGACCACTGCTCAGGTAAGTTGTTGAGGATGGTTATTGTCCAGGTAGAAGTGGGTCTAGATGGCTTCTCAAGTGTCTTTTGATTTTGGGTCTCTGTGGTTTGGCCAATCTCCACCCACTCTCCCATTGAGGACTTAGAGCTGCCAATGAGGCCCCAAGTAAATAGACAACATGACTCCAAGAAATTTCCCCAGGGAAATGGGAATGTGTTTCAATGGCTCTGTTAGGGGCTGCATGCCATTAAATGTACCCAGTTATGGCCAATTCCCTTCAAGGTAGAATGTGGTTAGAACTACAAGTGGATAGAAAGGGGAAAGGAAGAGGCCCTCCCATCTCAGTTTCCCTATCTGTAAAATCAAGGGTTTGGAAAGAACAACCATTTTCAAAATCCTACTATGTGCCAGGCACTGAGTTAGCACTTTACACATGTCTTATTTGATCCTTACAGCAACCCTGGGAATTACATACTGTTGTTATCACCCCTATTTTACAGTTGAGGAAAATGCCCAGCATCACACAGCTAGTTAGGCATCTGAGACTAGATCTGAACTGAGGTCTTCCTGAATCCTGACCTATTGCTACCACTATGGTACCATCTTGCTGCCTCTAGGTAGCTGTGGAAAAGAGTTACAGCTCCACACAGGAGGCCACAGAAAATCAGAAAGAAGCACTGGGACTGTATGTGGCTCATGGAATGGTTAGATACTTGTCTGGGTATGGTAAAGACTGGAGAATAGTCTGAGTCCTAGCAATTGGGAGTCAGAGTGAGTGACTTGGTGAGTGAAGAAAAGTTATGAGATG